AAAATAATTTGAAATCACATTCATCTATTTTAATATTCTCTATAACTGAGAATTTAGCAGCAGCATCCCTTCACTGTTTTCAGTAGGAAACAAGAAAAAAATTATTTTGCACTCTGGGAACCATGAAGTTCCTTTTTTCCAGTGATCTCTTCTCACTCCCTCCATCCCTCACCAGTTAAGACTACTGGAAGGAAAGAGCTGGAAGTGTAGACTCTTGGGATTTGTCTGTCACATTTCACAGAAACTGTAAATTCCAGGTGCAGCTTTAGAATTTTTAAGAACCCTTAAAGAATTAAATGTTATTTAAATGAGCCTTCAGCACATTTCCTAGTTCCTAAGGTGTTGAATATTCATTCTGATGTATATACTAGGTCACAGGCTAAAACCAATCCTTGTGGGCAGGACATTTGAGACTCCAACACCTCAAACCCCCCCCCTCCAAATATGCCATCTTCACAAGTTGTGTAAGTCAAGGAACTAAACATAATACAAGAAAATGTTTGTCCCTATACTCTTGACTGCATTGCAACAATGATTTTGGGGATAATTATAGAGTGGAAAGCATGAAGTACACTGTGTAACCACTGTCACTCAGTTTGAACCTACCTGCAATGATTTATTTTTTCTTAGTTACAGACTTGTGATGAAATTACATTTCATGAATGAGACTACTTTACTGGTGGAACAAGAAATGTTTTAGTTATATTAAGATTACCTTCAAAGAGCACTTAAGAGGCATTTTGTCAGCATTTTTTCAATTTTCATGCCATTTATCTCAAGGGGTTTTATGAAGAGATAAACAAAGGCAAATAGAAATAAGACACTTCCACTTAGTGCTCTGGCAGTGATACTGCTGCGTCCACTCATTTTCTCACCTGTAAACAGAAGAAAAGAGTGCTAGGGGCTGCCTTATCCACTTCTTTGGGCCTACCTGACAAACGCAGCAGCAAAAGGAAGATGGAAATTGCAAGAGCAGCCCCACTGCAGGGAAACCCAAGAGGCAGTAGGTGCTAAGGGACTCTGGTTGATAGGTTTACTAAGGCAACCTGCTGAGTACTTTTCCAAATTCTGGAGCCTGGCTTGAATCTATACAATTTGTCTGTGTGCTAGCTCAACGCATTCCTAGTCCACATTTTAAGCACACCTAGCAGGAAATGGAAAGCTTTCTTCCCATATCCATACTTTTAAGCAATTTGTGTAGATTGATTCCCATCTTTTCAGGCTTGGGTTAAAAAAAGGATGCTAACAAAACAGATGGGTAGTCCAATTCCTCAAAATGTACAACCCCCTTTCTAGCTCTGGTACCAGCTTTTGCTTGCAAGCCCTCAGGAGCTCAATAGTAAAAGACAAGGAAGGCTGAAGACATAGCTAATGGCTTCTGAATATAGGATAAGTGCGAGAAGATTTCAACTGTCAGCTCCACGGATTTTATTACCTCACTGTGGGTTTTCAAATTTACACAAGATACAACCTCCCCCTGTCAAATTAAGTATAAACTATACTGACAACTCTTCATCTCAGAGCAGCCTGCTCCGAAGAAGAGAAATTCCTATGTGGTTTTCCCTTCAGGCAGTTTATCACACCTGCTTAAATTCATGAGTATTTGCTTCCATGTACCTTTAGATCATTCAAAGGAAAATGCTGCTCAGGTCCTTATCTTTTCAATGTCACAATGCTTGTGATACACTGGAATCCAACTCTTTTTAAAGCAGAAGCAGCTAAAATTAACAATAATTCATATTATTTGTTAAGATGAATATTTTAAGCCCATTTAGAACAGCAATCTGAAATGAACTCAACATGCACTTATGGTCTAGTCTTTGTAGTAGAACTAAAATCATGATCCATTAATGTAATAGTGTCATCTTTTCAATTAATACAACTATAAACTATTTCAGGAAATAGTGTGATTTCTTTAACAATTTGCAAATGTCACACATTTGTAATCATCATATATATATATATATATATATATATATATATATATATACCAGAGTCAGGACAAGAAAGAGAAATTTAACCAAGGAGTTATACTGGGCAGCTATTTTAGCACATTTGCTGCTTCAGTATTTGAAGATCTTCTGAAAGGAGGGTTTGAACAACTAAACAGGAGAACAATGCAAGAGAAGGACAATTTTTCCACCAGAGGCATATATAAAATGCACTGTTTGTAGAGGATGTGATCAGGCAATGCAATCCAAGAGCCTTTGCTGCTTCCAAATAAATTATAGTTATCTCACAGAGTAGAATGAGACAAATTTCAGTTTAATCCAAGGCTTATTTATGGCACTCTAAATTCACAATGAAATGAAAAACTGGAAAATGACTAAACTAAAGCCATAATTTTCAGTGTAGCATGCAAAAGAAAATTGATAATTGTTTCATTATTCCTTTTTTAAAATCTTAAGCAGCTGTGCCCTGCACTGTCATGTTGCCATTTCTAAAAGCTGCAAAGTGAGTCTTTCCAATGTACCCTTTGTTATACTAGTTTTTCTTAGTTTATGTAAAAAGGAAAAAAGGAAACCTAGATAAATATCCAAGAGATTTATTGAATATTTGCTGGAGTACAATCTGTGAAGCAGTAATGGTTTAATTCCTACAACCTCACTGACAGACATACTGAATGGTTTGCCAACCTGGACTTGTTAGATATGAAAATATTAAGAACAGCATTTAGACAATGCCTGGTTTATTGGGGGGGGGGGGGGGGGGGGGGAGAAAGAAATTAAATCTTCAGTCAAAGGCACCTTCCCTTTGAGGAGAATAAGCAACACACTGCAGATGATTTTTGTTGTCTCTTCAAAATTTGGTCTCATTAAAACTTGAAAATATTTCAAGTATTTTCTTGTGGAGTTTCAATACGACACCCTCTCAGTTGAAGGTGTCTTCACTAGTTTGGTGTATGTGTAACTGCTACCTATACTTTCATCCCAAGCAGTTTAATCTTCAGTTTTTGCCTCCATCTCCTCAGCATCATCATCTCCATCTACTTCAGCATTCTCACGCTCCAGTCTTTCCAATTGTCTTGCAAGTTCAGTCTCATCAGTATCAGTAACCACTTTGGGCTGAAAAGTCGCAAAAAGAGAAGCAATACTTTATTAGCCTTTACATGTAACCCCAAAACCATTTAAACAGGTGTACTTGCATCAAAAATGGTTTTGTACAACTGGAATAAATGCAGTTTACTCTCCCAATCAATCGGCTAGGCTCAACCCAGTTCGCTCTACACCACCTTTTGCAATGGTAACCACTGACAACTGCTGATGGTCCCCCCTCTGCTATCTTTCCACCAGCAGGCAAAGACCTTTTTGTTGAGACAGGCCTTCAGCTGTTACCTTACAGAAGGATCTTTTATTGGGGTGTGCTATAATTTTTACTTCACTATTATGTTTTAAATGCTTTAAAAAGTTTTTTAAGCAATAACTTCTTACTTTGCTTGCTGATTTAATTGTTTTTAATTTTCAAACCATGCATTGTTTTAACTGTAATTTATTATACTGCACTGCCTTCAGTCTTTTATTGAGAGACAGGTAGAATAAAAATAACTAAATAAATGTTGATCTATACCAGCTAAGTGCATTTACTAGTAAATGTATACAGATTGAGTCTCCCTTATCCAAAATGCTTGGGACCAAAAGTGTTTTAGATTTTGGTTTGCACCAACATAATGAGATATCTTGGAGATGTGACCCAAGTATAAACATGAAATTCATTTAATTTTTATATATACCTTATAGACATAACCTGAAGGTAATTTTATAAATAATATTTTTAATAATTTTGTGGACAGAATAAAATTTGTTCACACTGAACCATCAGAACAGAGGCTGGATGAGCCATCTGTCAGGGGTGCTTTGATTCCAGCATGGTAGGGGGTTGGACTAGACAGCCCTTGTAATCTCTTCCCACTCTATGATTCTATAAGTCTATGAGAAAGCAAAGGTGTCACTATCCCATGTGGACAATTTTGGAATATTTTGGATTTCAGACTTCTAGATAAAGGAGAGTCAACCTCTATAGCTACCAGCATCAACCAGAGGTAACCACAAATGATTTTACTAAGAAAGAGAAGATTTGTTATCATGTCTATTTCCTCCAGCACATTTTCTTCAAAGTCCAATTCTGCAACTTTGCTGGAGCAAGGAGTTCACTATCCACCCATCTCAATGGCTAAAACAGCAAACTGAAATTACATGGGCCCCAGAGTCAGACAATTTATATTGCAATTTTTTTTCATTAAACACTATTTTTTGGTCATCACAGCTCCAATTTAGCCTAATATGGGGTGGGAGGATAAGAGTGGAAAGAAAAAAGGAAATTCTGACCTCTCAAGTGCTTCACATAGCTCTAGTACTTACTAATAAGGAGTGTAGATTTTCAAGGCAAAATGGGAATCCCTTAGGAGACAGGTTTCAGCATCTAAGCTAACTGTAAACAGTCAGATGGTGCTCAAAAGGGGTAGGAGGATATTAAGGATTACATCCAATGTCAAACAAGCAGATTTCCACTTGCACAATAGGACTTTCCCTTACTCTCTTCCTGAGTATGTCTCCAAGTCTGCTCCAGAGGTCTCCAGACTGCTGAAACCAATATGGGGGCACATATAGGGGACTGGAAATGGAATCTGTTCCATGGGCAGATGGACACAGTTGGACACAACCCAATTCCCACAATCTAGCACTACGACACGCCAAACCTTGAAATACGGTGCTATTCAGTCAGGTGCTTATTTTCAATAGAAGCCTGACTAGCCCTGATCTGGGTATTTCCAATACTGATACATACACTTTTTTGCCAGTTTTTCTTATCTCTCCCTCCTTCCTTCTTGCCCTCACTTCTTTTCAGTTTGCTTCTAACTGACATTTTGCCTGCTGGTTATCCTCAGAGAGCCTAAACTGCATCAGTCAGATTATTCATCCCTCACAACAACAACAGAAGTCTAAAACCTCTTGCTTACAATAAAAGTCTTGTGGGAACTATAGGAGAGCCAACTGTAGGAAAGCCAGCATGGTATAGTGGTTTGAGCACTGGACTATGATTCCTGAGACCAGGGTTCAAATCACTGCTTGGCTATGAAAATTCTCTGGGTGACCTTGGACAAGTCCCATTCTCTCAGCCTCAAAGTAAGACAAAAGCATGCCCCTCTCTTAAAAAATCCTGCCAAGAAAAACCATGACAGGTTCACTTTAGGGTTGCCCTAAGTTGGCAATGACTTGAAGGCACACAATTACATTAAGGAAACACAGGACACGGTTGCATATGTGAACACAGTAGTGGAGACTCCTTGTTTAGGAGAACAAACAATACTTACCTCCATCTGCACATTGAAGACACCTCTCTTCTCTTCAATTTTTTCTTTAATAACAGCCATTGCTTGGCTGAGGACAGAAAGGCCTTCAGTTCTCTCCAGTGTTGTAGTGGTCATTACATACCGAGGAGGAGCTATCAAGTTTATCTACAAGAGGGGAAAGATAACATTAAACTTATCTCTAGAAATATAAAAGAAAAACAAGCTGTTGAATGCATTTGATTACCATATATATTCAACTATAAATCAACCTTATGTATAAGTTGAGGGAAGGTTTTGGGACCAAAATTAAGGATTTTGATATGACCCATGGATAAGTCAAGAGTAAAACTTAGGGGCATGTAACAAAGGTTCTAAACTAGCAAAGGAAAACAATATTAAAGAATATACAAAATTCCAGCACGCATAACTGTTTGTTACTAAAGGCTGGATGGATGACAGAGTAGTGTGAGTACAGCTCACACTCTTACCTTTTACCAGGGGATGGTTCCTTTTTTTTTTTTTTTCTTCCAGAGTTAAAATAAAGTACTTATATTGACCCACAGATAAGTTAACTCAGATTTTTTGGGTCAATTTTTTTACTTAAATTTCTAGACTTATA